TGCTGCTGATCAGGGGACAGCTGGACAGAACCAGGTATGGTGTCCCCTGATCGGGTTTTAACCTCACTTGATGTTCTTGGTGTGTTTTTGGCACAGTTCTGACCGTGGAACAACGCAACGCTCAAATTTATAAAGAAACAAATGTAAATGTTACTTTCACTAAAAACTGGAGTAGATGTGTTACTAATGTTGACTTTTTTAGTTATAAAATATCCGGTCACTCTTTACAAAAAAAAAGTTTTTTTTGTGAAGAATACTGTACATAAATGTTAGTTGTAGCGTAGGGAAGGTTTATGTGGAGTTAACATTTTCACACTTTATTTTTTGAAATTTATTGTAGTTATAAAATTGACACTAAAAGTACTTAAGAGTTTTTGTTTTCCTTTTAATCAATAAATCTAAGCAGTGTTTTCACTTGGTGTCATATGCATTCTTCTTTGCAAATATGCCTTAGACTGCATGTATGCCATTTCACTACTAATTTTGAACATTTCTTGATACCCGTATGAAAGCAATAGTGCAAAAACAGCAAACTCACAACCATAGTGTCTGTATTTGTTGTTTTTGGTGCCAATCCCTATTGTATGTGATCAAATTAAAAAGAAATATATATATAGGAGTTGGACAATGAAACTGAAACACCTTCCATTTTAGTGTGGGAGGTTTCATGGCTGAATTGGACTAGCCTGGTGGCCAATCTTCATTAATTTCACATCGCACCAGTAAGAACAGAGTGTGAAGGTCCAATTAGAAGGGTAAGAGCACAGTTTTGCTCAAAATATTGCAATGCACACAACATTATGGGTGACATACCAGAGTTCAAAAGAGGACAAATTGTTGGTGCACGTCTTGCTGGCGCATCTGTGACCAAGACAGCAAGTCTTTCTGATGTGTCAAGAGCCACGGTATCCAGGGTAATGTCAGCATACCACCAAGAAGGACGAACCACATCCAACAGGATTAACTGTGGATGCAAGAGGAAGCTGTCTGAAAGGGATGTTCGGGTGCTAACCCGGATTGTATCCAAAAAACATAAAACCACGGTGCCGAAATTACGGCAGAATTAAATGTGCACCTGTACTCTCCTGTTTCCACCAAAACTGCCCGTCGGGAGCTCCACAGGGCTGCTATAGCCAAACCTCTGGTCACTCGTGCCAATGCCAAAAGTCGGTTTCAATGGTGCAAGGAGCGAAAATCTTGGGCTGTGGACAATGTGAAACATGTATTGTTCTCTGATGAGTCCACCTTTACTGTTTTCCCCACATCTGGGAGAGTTACGGTGTGGAGAAGCCCCAAAGATGCGTACCACCCAGACTGTTTCATGCCCAGAGTGAAGCCTGGGGGTGGATCAGTGATGGTTTGGGCTGCCATATCATGGCATTCCCTTGGCCCCACACCTGTCCAAGACGAATTGATGCTGCATTGGCCACAAAAGGAGGCCCTACACAATACTAATAAGTTATTGTGGTCTAAAACAAGGTGTTTCAGTTTCATTGTCCAACCCCTGTATATATATGGTCGAAATAAACCCGCTGTTGGTTGAGGCGTATCTCCTTTTTTCTTCCACGCGGAAGAAAAAATGTTTTGGTTCTGAATGCCAGGAAGGAGATGACCACAGAGCGGGGGTTCGCGTCCTGCGGTGGTTTGGGACCCAGAGCCCCGGTGGCAGCGTTGTATAGCTAGATCGGTATACTGGAGGGAGAGCTCGGCTTTAATGAAACCGGCCATAAACTCCAACAAGTTGTCTCCCTCTGTATCCTCCGGAATCCCGTACACACGGATGTTGTTTCTGCGTGAGCGAGCTTCTAAATCAGTTAGCTCGGCTTGCAGTTTATCTTGGTTGTTTATTGCTCGAGTTAGCACTTCTTTCGCCGCCGCGGTCCACTCCTCCATTTCTGCCACACGTTTTAACGACTCCTCCGACCTTTCTTGGTTCTCTTTTATGTCCGACACGATTGCGTTTAGTTTTCCATTAATCTCTTCTTGGAAACTTCTTAACTCTCTCTTCATGTCTGCGGAGAAGTCGTCGCGAAAGTGGCTCAGCTCTTCCTTCACGTCTGCCCGGATAGCTAGGATCTCTTTGTGGATAGCGCCGATGCTAGCCTGTAGCCCTTCCATAGCCATGTGCTGGTCCGAAGCGCCCTCGTCAAATAGGGTTTTAAAACTTTCTTTCTTTGATTTATCGTTACTTTTTGATGCCTTTCCCCCTTTCATCATAAAATAATCGAATTTAGAGGGTTAATTAAGCTCTAGAAAAGGGGATTTAGACGACCTAGTTGGGAGCTCTGGTTCAGTGCGTCTGCTCACCTCAGCGCCATAGCCGGAAGCCCTTTAAAACATTTTTAAGAAATAATGTTTATCAAGTAATATTTATTAAACTATCTTGCGGTATCTGGCCGGTAGTGCAGCAGTACAGCCATGGGGTAAAGTAGAAAGTCCTATGATGAAAGCACTCATGCAACAAGTAAAAGTTATTCTGCAGGTTTGGCCCTCCGTTGTGTTGTTACACTCTCTTGTGACTGATGTGTTTTCATTTTTGTGCATCACAGGGTGCAGGAGCTGATGGCTATGAGCGAGAACTCGGAGTCGAGCGTTCCTGCTGGTCAGGAAGAGCTGCAGGAAGCAGAGCCGGCCCCAGAACCACAGGAAGCAGAGCCGGCCCCAGAACCACAGGAAGCAGAGCCGGCCCCAGAACCACAGGAAGCAGAGCCGGCCCCAGAACCACAGGAAGCAGAGCCGGAGCCGACCCACGACAGCACGCCCAAGAAGAAGAAGAAGAAGAAAAAGGAGAAGGAAAGAATCAAAGAGGAGGAGACAGAGGAACAGATAACAAAGACGCCACCCAGTCTGAACGGATCCACGGAGCAAACAAACAGTTCGGACCCTCCAGAGAAGAAGAAGAAAAAGAAAAAGGAGAAACGCGTGAAAGAAGAGGAGGAGCAGATGGAGGTTTCGGCCATGGAGAACCACCGTGGCTTCGGTGACAAACCGAGCAAGAAAAGGAAGCTTGAAAGTGGGACAGATGCACCATCATGGGGCGAGGTAACCCCGAAAAAATCCAAGAAGAAAAAGAGGGACGTTTAGTGGTAAATTGCAGACTTTAAGACAAACTCAATTTTAAAATGTTTAAATTAAGTCCTGCAGAAAAAAAAGATCAATGGTGTCTCTTCTCAGTGGATTGTAGTTCCACTACGTTGCCTGATGGTGGAGCAAAACCACCACAGATGAACACTGTGGCAGGCAACAATGGGGTGGAAACTTCTCAGTTCTGACATGAATTCAACTCATTTTCCTCATGTGCCTTTCTAAGATTTCTTCCTTACAGACAGACTGCTATGACAAAAGCTCCAATGAAAATGTGTGCTTTTTTTAAAAGATCATGCTTAAAATCAATGCAGCACAGTCACAGGGAAGCCAGTGACTGTGCTTTACAGTGTGTTTTTATCTTGAGAGAGAACTGAAGAAATTTAAAATAAATATGATTCTCATACCACATGTCTCCTGTATTCTTGCTTTTAGCAGCATTATGGACAGGTTTGGGCAAAAATGAAATAATTTTCAGTCACGTCTGTTTCAATCTGGCGCCTCACATTCAGAAACCTACATTTCTGCATAATTTTCCTGTGTTTTTCATACTTTAAGCTGCTTTTTGTTTTGTTTTCTTTTTTTCTTTTTGCTAAGCTGCTGGTGTTGGTTGATGTAGCGTGGACAGACGGCACTAAAGATCCCTGTGTTTTCTTTACCCTGCCTCCACACACTCGGATCTCCCTGCCTTTCAGTGGGAAGCCTAATTAGCTGTGAGGTGCTAAGAGTTAGGGAGCTTATCGGAAGCTGCCTAAAAGAGGAAAGATAAGGAGCTTCAATTAAGTCAGCTTATCTTCTCTTATCACACGTGACGGTAGATTTCTGTGAAGAACTTCAGGTTGGAGGTTTTCATTAACATTTAGGTTTATTTTTTTTTAAATCCAGAGATGAGAAATTAGATATATTTGCATAAAATAATCTTAAATTGTAAGTTATTTTCCTTTTGTCGCACATAATTCTTAAACCAAGTAAGTAGCAATGGCTGCTTTGCAAAATCATCACATTTCTTAAGGTACCAATGAACAGGTTATGTGTTTATATATTGACATTTTATGGAAAATATACAAGGTGGGATGAACTCAACCCAGTCAAAATATCTTCCCATTTAAATATTTAGTGCATGATAACCAGCTTATGTTTTAAGCTGATGATTGCACCTGTAAAAACTTTCTGAATTTCCTCACATTAAAGCCACGAGATTTGCTATTTGTTGCTGGGATTTTATATGATGGAAGGAAATAAAGCGGAATGTAATTGTGACATGGAAGCCAAATGATACGTAGGTTTTAGCAACTTCTTTACAAATTCAACTCTGAAAAGTGTTTCTCCGGTGATATTTGGTGTGTGAGAATGTATTTATTCTCACACACCAAATTTTTCACATCTTGCCACGTGTTCAGATGTAGGTCCGGACTTTGACTGGGCCATTCAAACATTAAACATAAATGTCGATCTACTGGAGGACGAGTCTCCGCCCAAGCTGTTGGTCGATTTGCAGAATCGAACAAGTTTTCTTTCATCCCCACAATCTTTCCTGATCTGCAAAAATATTGGGATGTCAGCCTCTCATGCAGTCACTGGTAGGTGTACTGCTGTATCCATCTTGCATGGACATTGGATTTTTTTCAAAGAGAAGTATTTAAAATGTTTTATGCATTTACTCAGACCAAAAGCTACACGGTCATCATTGATTCCTGTTGTGTTTTTCACTTCAGTCACGGTTTGTGAGGGGAGGAAGAGCTGTAGAAGTATTCAGAGTTTCTGTTTCTGGATTCATCCAGATGACATTTTCCACTGCCTGCAACTTGACATGGAAATGAGTACCTGCCTTTTCCTTTCCTTCAGAGTCATCTCTCAGAAGAGAGGGAATAATTGAAGACATAAAATCTGTGTGTCAAGGGAACTACACAATCATACTTATGCAGTTTTTTTCTCTCTCTCTTTCAGCACTTCAAATAGTAGCAGGTGACTTTCTCTGCGGGAACCGCAGCAAATGTGGTGAGAAACTGACATTCCCTAAAACCCCCATCAACCCTGGTTTGACCCTCACTTCTGAATCTAAAGTCCATTCTAATAGATTGAGGGTAAATTTGAAAGTGGTAAAGTTTATCACCTGCACACACTAACATTATGGTTTTATAAGGTATATGATGCTGCAAAATATCAAAAACGGTTAAACAAAAGTTTTGGGAAAGACTGAACGGTTGTTATTTGTTTTGTAAAGGTTCCCAAGAGAAAGCCTTCACTCTGAAACGTCTGCATGCCACAAGATTTCCATAACTATGCGCTTTGAAGATGTGAGAACAAATTTCGGGATGTTTGGCCAGAATACACACGACTACGTTCTGTGAACACAGCCCAGCATTTAAGCCCCAAAACCTAAAAACTGTCAAACTGTCAAGCAAAGTGACAGAGCGCTGATGGCACCGGACCGTTTTCCCACCACAGAACCCGGGTACGTTACAGTCTTTGAGTCAATCAGAAATTCATCAGTACACCACGGTGACATGGAAGTCAAATTCGAGGGTGGGACAGCTGAGGCTTGGGTCATGGAAACAGATATTGATCGAGAGCAGAATGACTAAAGTGGAAAGAATTAAATCACTGGAGTTGCCTAAAGGCAAGAGCACTACCCGATGAAACTGATGCGAAGAAAAGCGGGCCAAAAAGTCCGCCGGGATAATCTGAAAGAATGGTGAGTTCACAGAAAAGATTATCTTTCTCGAAAGTTGGCTGACAAGTCTCTGATTTGTTCCTGCAAACTGCTTCTGCACTTTGGCTAAGTTTGTTGTTTAATCAAAAAATCCAAATATGAAATGTTAAAGTTTGCAGATGCAGTGTCAGAAATGTGAAAAGTTAGTGCTGAATGAGTCATTTTGTAAGGGAATTAAAGAGCTGTTGGGCTTTATTTCTTATTTTATACCGTATTTTGAGCAGCTGATCAAACTAGGCGGGAAGTACATGATCAGCTAATCAGGTTCTGTCCATTAAAACATCAACACACGCTCTCAGCAGTCACCCAACAACGTTATGTTTGCCAAAAGTTTACGTTCACTTGAGCCAGGCCTTTTTCATGCTGTCCTCTTTTTATTGTTTCCCAACTAATCCAATCCATGAGTTAATAGGAATGTACTTGTTGAGTTTGGCACCAATTTAACTGCTTCAGCAAAGGCTGGAAATGAGCACAAATCAAAAGATAATTAAGATTTATTACCATCTGAAAAAGACATCAGTTACAAGTCATAAAGCTGTTTTAAGGCAGACTTATTGAGGGAGTGGTGTATGTTCCAGTTAAAGCCCTTTTGATGATTCATAGATCATCTGATTGTCAGAGAGTGGTATCGGTGTGTCCTGACTGCCTTCATACCGGGCAAAACAAAATTAAATTTCAACCTACGAATGTCTTTTTATCATTATTATTATTATTGGAACATTAAAGTGATCTTTACCTCTAATTTGTCCCTCCATGACCTCCCTCTGGTGTTATCAGTCATTCATCCAACCCCAACTTGCAGCCTGCACCCTTTCTTGCACCTGTACCTCCTCCCTCATTGCTCTCCCATTCGTCTTGTCGTCCCTCCTATCACTCCCTCATGCTGACTGGCCTTCTTCTCTCCTGCCCTGCTTTCTCTCTTCCCTCTTTGTCTCCTCCTCCCACTTGTCTCCCTGATTTATAGGAGGCAGTGTGCAGTTCACACACATTCCACGTCTGACACCCAATTCGCCCCGCCGCTCCCCCGCCCCTCCCTCATATCTGTGCGTGGCCATTTATCTTTGTGATTCTCTGATGAAGAGAAGAAGAAGAAGAAGAAGGAGGGTCGGAGAAATGAGACGATAGCAGGAGTGTTGGGTTGAGCCCCGATAGGAGCAGTATCTGGTGTGTGTGTGGGTGTGTGTGCGTGTGTGTGTGTGTGTATGTGACTTGGTTGGCTGTGGGTCTCTATCTCCTGTGTCAAAGTTTCCAGGCCTGGCGGCAGCTTCTACATGAAAGGGGTCCGTGGAGTCTTTATGGAGAACAAACGACGGCCTGACGCAATTCTCCTGGTCCAGGACTCACACGTTCAACGGCCCATGGCACACATTTACTGGCTCACTAGCTCGTTCACTCATGCAGACACATCCACAACCCGCAGTCCACAAATCCCCAACCTTACACGCCCGTGATGGCCAAGCCTAATTAGTTATGTGGTCGGTGCGCCGCTCTGTCCCAGAGCCCCAAATGGCAGCAGGTCATAAAACCTTAAGTGTTCCACCAGTCAGAGAGGTGCAACCGTTGCCACATTCGCTCTCGACATGACTCGGGTTGGGTAGAGCTCTTTTCTGTCAGAGTCCGTCCTTTGAAGATCAACAGTCAGCTGTGAAATCCTCAGAGAGATTCGTGGTCTTTCTCATTAACGGTGGGCAGACTCACACAGAACCACATGCAGCTTTATGTTTGGTTTAATAGGTGGATAGCATTGACCAGTCCCGCTTCTGCGAGTCCTGGCAAAAAAAAAAAAAAAAACACAAAAAAAAACCAGATCTTGTATTATCCAGGGAACAACCTGAGTTACTTCATTTCAGTGTTTCATATCACTTCAACGAACTCCAGCAGACTGCATTTGGGATTTCATTTTCAGACAAGACAAAGTTGTTAAGAGGATGGAAAATGAAACAAATGGGTCTCAACTTTCTCTCTCTCTTTTTTATTTTTTAATTTTTTGCAAATAAAAATTTGAAGTGTTCAAATCCGTGCTGCTTCTGTGACTCTTTAGGGGTTAGTGTCTGTCAGATTTACACATCTACATTCTGAGAAGTGGTGCAAAATATCTCAAGTTCAGATTCCAAGTCATTTTTCAAACTTTCCCTCAACATCTTGGACATTGCAGGGCCGAACGTGTGCTCACGGCTGTGATGATGAACATCTGCCGCGGTCTCGGATTTTCCGCAGCCACCAGTAGATTCCAGGGTCGCTAACCATCGTGTCTCACCAGTCGTTCTCTCATATCCAAGTCGCCCGAGTTGTCAATCTCTGGACGTAGCAGGTGGCCTGGTCTTGGTAGCTTGTGCCATGTGCTTAATAATTGGATGATTTAACGGTGCCTTGTTAGGTGCTTAAACTCTGAGGTTTTGCTTAATAACGACACCAATTTAAACTTCTCCACAACTTTTAAGCCTCCATTGGTCTTCATGATGCTGTTCGCCTTCACAGATGTTCTCTAATAAATTGCAGCTGCAGAACACTAATGTTGAATTACTCACAAGTGGCTTTTATTTACTTTAGGATTATTTATCACTGAATTTCATTCAGCGAAAACTCCAGCAGAGCAGTGTGTCAATATTGTGTGGCCTCATTGTACTTAGCTTGTTGTGGAAGGAAGGTGTTTTTTGGGGGGGACAGTGAGAGTTACCATCTGAGTTAGTGTT